ATTGCGAATGCTATAACGAAGGAGGCTGAACTGTGCAAACTGGATATTCCAACGACAAGTGGGCAGCTTACACAGCCTGGCTTTGGCTGTTTAGCTGAAGTAGATGGGCGTTTGGTTGCAGTGGGTAATTTGGACTGGGTCCACGATCGTTTTGAAACCAAGGCGTCACCGACTGAACTGAGTGATCTTGGAAAGCGTCTAGAGTTTGTGCCTTCTAGTGAAGCATCATCTTCGAATCAGTCAAAATCAATTGCTTATATTGGTCGTGAAGGAGAAGGAATAATAGGTGCTATTGCTATCTCAGATGTTCTGCGTGATGATGCAAAATCAACTGTGGACAGGTATTTACTGGAGACATCTTTTGCATTGTAAATGTATTTTCCATGTGATATTAGTGCAAATATAACTCTCCTAACTGCCAGGAACATGTTCAGAAGTTATCATGTTGCCCCACTTGTCAAAATGTGTTAAACTTGGAAACCCATTTGATCTCTAATGTTATAAAATGGTTTCATCTCGCCAGAACCTCAAATGTTGCGGATGCTACTTTTTTGTTGTCATGCAAGTGATGTGTCTCTTGCAGTCATATCCCCATAATTCAAGCAGTGTGTAACAGTCATTCCTTTTCTGGTTAATCTACAGGCTACAGCAGGAAGGAATTGCAACCTATATATTGTCAGGAGACAGGAAAGAGGCAGTGGAAGGCATTGGGGAAACTGTTGGAATCAGGAGTGAAAACAGAAGGTCATCCCTCACCCCACAGGAAAAGGCAGGCATTATATCAACTTTGCAAGGGGAGGGGCATAGAGTTGCCATGGTAATTTATTGTCGTGTTTTATCTTTGATCTACTGTCAACAGCACATCCGATTGTCAATTCTGCATGGGCTCCCCAAATTAGTTGTAGTGAAAATGTTCCATTCATCTACTTTGCCAAATGAGATATCCAAGTGTTATGCATAGCTAAAAGGTTAAAGCGCGAGAGAATTCATCCTTTGCAGATAATATGACAGAAGTTTCAACTTGGTGGTTAACAAGGCTGTTTTGTATTCTTTTTACTGAAAGCATGTTGTTTATCTGCATGAGCTGCTAACAACAATGGGTCATTACTTGCCGTTACACAGGTTGGCGATGGAATAAACGATGCACCATCTTTGGCAGCTGCTGATGTCGGAATAGCTATGCGGACTCACTCGAAAGAGAATGCCGCCTCTGATGCAGCTTCAGTGGTTCTATTAGGGAACAGGCTTTCGCAGGTATAGTTCTTCCAACACTGATTTGTAGGAGACTAATTCAAGTGGCATAGTGCATTGATCGATGAGAACAATCTCTGGCACAGGTTGTAGATGCCCTATCCCTGTCTAAAGCAACCATGGCAAAAGTGCACCAGAACTTGGCCTGGGCGGTGGCATACAACATAGTGGCCATCCCCGTCGCGGCTGGAGCGCTACTGCCTCAATTCGATTTCGCCATGACACCCTCTCTTTCAGGTAATGTTTATCTGGTGAAGACAGTTGCCATGGTTGTTTTACGTCTCCTCAGTCACATTTGTATAATACTCCCTCCGTCCCATAATGTAACATCTGGTGACATCTGGTGATGTGGGTGTGGTGCAGGAGGACTGATGGCCCTGAGCTCCATCTTTGTCGTCAGCAATTCTTTGCTCCTGCAGCTGCATGGATCGTTTCAGAAGGCGGAAAGACCCGGACCGGATGACCTGAAGTCTAGACCGAAGTCTCAGATATTATAGGGTAGACACGATTATTTGCCGAGACACACGTTTGTACAGGATCATAGAGCGTGCCTCGACTGAACTGCTCCTAGTTTTGTACCACCGACCCAGCACATACGAGTCGATTCTTGCAACGGATGTTGTACAGCCCAACACATGCGTCCCTGATATGAACACACTGTTGGCAACACGTAACAAAAGATCATCGTCCATGCATTGCCTCGCCACCTTCTCGTCCGCCGCAAGGAACCAAAAAAATCTGCATTTTTTCTTTCTATTTTTATTCAACAAGAAAAAATAATGTCTCTAAAATAATAATAACTCATGCGTTTTTTCCGAAGAAAAATTATGTATGCGTGAAAACCCAAGAGAAGTTTTTTTTTTTTTTGAGAACTGAAAACGCAAGAGAAGTGTAGTTGACTAGTTGCACTGTCAGGCCATATTACGGGAATCAGCAGCCCATCTACACTCGGCCTTATATTCAACCACGGCCCAAGCAAACCGACGAGCGCCTCGCCTCCGAGAAAACGAACCGAGCGGAGAGCTTTGCTGTGCCTGTGCTAGCGCAGCGCTTTCGTTTAGTCCCACCTCGCGCAGCCAGAGCGCAAGGGAGGCGAAGGCGCGCTATATAAGCAGACCCAGGGCGACGGGGAGAAGCATACCTTTCTCGGCCTTTTGGCTAAGATCAAGTGTAGTATCTGTTCTTATCAGTTTAATATCTGATATGTGGGCCATGTGCCCACAACGATATTAAATTTATTTTTTATGGGGGAGGGCCCATCACAGCAGCTTGCTGCTGGGGTCCTCGCGTGTCGCCCAGGCGTTGCACTGCTGCCTGGGCCGGCGCACCCCTCCAGAGCATGTGGAAAATTTCTTCTGTCTGATTTGCTTTGGCTTTCTTCTTTAGAACAAATGAAAACTGAGCTGAGTTTCTCTCTATTAAACAGTAGAGCACTTTAACTGTACACTAGTTTTACTGCCATGTTTAAGTGGGTTTACTTGTCCTCTTAAAAAAAAAATCCAAATCCCTCTTTGCGAAAGCTGTTCAGACAATATGGAGAAAAGCTAAGTAAAGGTGGCCAAGAGCTCTGAAGATTAAACACACGGCACATCATGGCTGATCCTTCCCCTGGTTTACATCTTCGTTCAGCACTCGTTGGCGTTTCCCCGGAGCGCCACCTTGCCGCTCGTCCCCTTCTCCTCCTCCACTGCCCCCACGCCGGCCTCCGCCGACTCTGCCTGCTGCACGCGCGCCATCTTCCTCCCGCGCTTCCTCGCCTTCTCGGCCTCGGCCGCCTCGTGCTCCCTCGCCCACCGCCGGCCCACGGCGCAGGCAACCGCCAGCTCCACGGCCTGCACCAGGAACATGGCCAGCAGCAGCGCCCCCTCCAGGAGCACCAGCGCGACCTGCTCCCTCCGGTCCCGCGCCGACCCGAGCAGCGCGAGGCTGCGGTCGCGGCGGAGGAGCAGCGCGTAGGAGGCGAGCGCGGCGACCGCGAGGGCCGCGTGGGCGTGGCAGCAGAGGCGACGGCGGGCGAGGTGGGTGTACATGGACGCGAGCGCGGAGAGCAGCGTGGCGGCGTGCACGGAGACGAGCGCCCAGCCGAAGGGCGTGGGGCGGGGCCGGAGCAGCAGCGCCGGGCCGAGCGCGGCGGCGGCGAGGGCGAGCAGGGAGAGGTTGAGGAGCCACAGCAGCAGGTTGGGGAAGGAGCAGGCTGGAGCTGGAGCTGGGGCTCGACGCCATTGCACTTGCACCGAGCAGAGCTGGAGCTGTCTGTCGCGTACGTACTTGCTGGTGTTGCAGCGTTGTTTGTTTGTTCTTGGTGATGTGTGTGCCGCGCGGTGAGGCTTAAATACCGAGCGCGCGGGACAGCGTGGTGACCGTTGAGTTGGGCGGAGTGAGCAACGGCTTAAAGTTGGCGCCGGGAGTGGAGCGGGAGCCCATGCATGGCCACCATGATTACCGCGCAACATCACAAAAGGATACTACTACTACTACTACTAGCTAGCTAGCTGAATAAACAGTAAAATTCCAAAATAATTTCTAAGGCAGTAAGAAACCTCAAACTTTTTGACATAAAAATGCGTGAATTTTTCAGGTGCTTGCAATTTCCCATGGCCATGATGGCATGATTGCCGCGCAACATCACCAAAAGATACTCCCATCCGCCCAGGAAGAAATGTTTTTGCCTAATAACAGCACCTGGCCTGGAGACTGAATGGAAATAAGAGTGAATACAAACAACCCAAGAAGGCGAAAATAAACTGACCAATGTTGCTTTTAAAATCAAGCTAATACAAAAACCATGAAAGTAAACTTCGCGCACGCGTCCACTTACATCCCTAGGCGTATCCATGCAACACCAACAAAAAACTTGGCAAGTTCACGGGGTCATCTAAGATCATACATAATCCATATTCACAGGCTGAACTAGCAAGTACTGGTAACCTAGTTTCTGAGGGTTAGATAGCGCAGTCATATATTCACATACTTTCAGGGTAGCAGTAACCTAAGCTAGGAACAAAAAACGGAGAGCACCCAGGACAGGAGGATGGGCCGTTGGAGTCGCAACTCTGCCGGTGCTTGGGCCACATCAGCAAGGAGCCTGCGATAAGATTAAACAAGGTCAAATCTCTTTTCCAGAATTTCAGTGATACCTTGATTTAGTTAGGTACATTTCAAATGAGTGACAGTATATGTTAGCGCCTACGCCACTAGCTATTCTGATGTCGACGGTCTGCAAACAGTTTCTGCCAGTCAATGGAAACAAATTCAATTTTGAAAATCAGCACATGTCTACAGGCTCTCCACCAATTCTAGATAAGGACCAGATCAACAGTCACCTCACAAAGATTCAGTACTTTAGATGTCGAAAACCAGAAAAGACATCAGTAAAGATTTCCAGTCGTGTTATAATTGAAATAACACGCCACAGCTACAACCAGGAAAGTATAGTGGGCACTAAGAATAAAGGCTTTCGATTACCTCAAGAGTCATAAACCCTAAAGCATGTATTGGATGTCAAAGGAAACAAATTCAGAAAGAAAGAGCACATGTCTACAGGCTCTCCAACCATCTAGATAAAGACCAATCAGGAGTTGTCTGACCAAAATCCAGTTGTTGGGTTGATAGAAAATTTACAGACAGAAAAGCAGAAGACATAGCTAGATATTTCCAATTGCTATAATCCAAGTAACATGCCACAGGTCAGAAAAAATATAGTGAGTTCGTGAGTCAACGCTCCAGAAGAATAAAGTTATTCAATTACCTTAAGAGTCGTAAACCCTGAGCATGTATTGGATGTCTTGCCTACACACAGGGCACAATGGTTCATCCATGAGTTCCACCCTTTTCGCGCAGTTGCAACAGCAGACAAGATGACCACAAGGAACAAAAGCTGCCCGCCTTCTTTTCCTTAAGCATATGACACATAGCTGCCCGTCACCCATTTCACCAGGCTCGTCGTCGCTGCCATTTTCTCCAGCATCATCTTCATTGTCAGCCTCGTGAAATCTTTCTTGAGCTTCTCTTGCCTCTCTGTGCCGTTTAACTCTCTCCCATAACCTGCATCATTACAAAAATCAAATTATCTGCAAAAACATGACTACAAAAAAGAAAATGGAACAGCTCCAAAAGAACCATATCAGGCTAATGTGAAGTATCTAGTTGTAATTATCCCCATAATAATCAAGGTTCAGTAAATAAAGCCTTTACCAATGGTGAAAACGCCACATTTGATAATTCACAGTAAGAAATATTCACCCAAATATTTTGTTCACCACCCTGTTCCATAAGTTACAAATGGTACCTGTAAATGGCATGGCCTAGTAAGCCAACTGACACGGTTCCAAGAGCAACAGTAACCCAGAAGAAGAATCTAGCACGTGAGGACATCTCGGCTTCCATCTCACCCTTGGTCAGATCAGACCTGAATCAAGGCAAAGTGTTACAGAAAACCACGGAACCAATAAGAATATGAAACCTATGGCTAAATAGCATCCTTACAAGAAATATGGGAGCTCTGGGCACGAGCTGATCTCAACACTTCGATTCTTTAATCGACATAAGCCTATTGCTGTAATCTCCTTTCCGATAGGAAGAATCTTTTCCTCATCCAATAACGCAATCTGTCATATAAATAAGCAAATAGCTATAAAAAGAAATCCACAAGGTGATTACTGCCTAGGAAAACATCTGTTTCAGCACACAAGCACAATAGCTTACCGGATAGCCATTGCCAACAATAGTCTGAAACAATGTGTAAGAATTTTGCTCAACTGGGATAAGCTTGTGATACACAGTTGTAAGAGGTAATGACTGATGAACAGCCCCATCAAACTTCACATGTACCATTTCCCCTGATTTCTCGGAAGCAGGATCGACAAGACCAAACGAAACCTTTCAAAAGGAAAAGTACAGTAAAATTGGAGGTAAAAATGATTACGGAAACAGCAAGTGAATCAACTATCAAGTGTAGATAGCATACCCATCGAGATGATGTTATAATTTGCTCTTTCAATGATTTAAAAAAGAGAGCATGTAGGTCAAAAGTCCATCCAAAGATGCCTCTCCATTCGCCGAACAAGCACTACAAAAGTATATAGAAGATCACATTACACCAGTTAGACATCTCTACAAGGAGAGCATAGTGGATACACGACGGTGCGTTTAAAGAGCAATGCAAAACCATAAGAAAAGTTTGGGGCACACAAGTGCTATTTTACTTTTCACTCATAGGGATATATCATGATAACAAATAAAAGAAAATACATGGAAACTAGAAAACTTCAAGATCCAGACCCTTGTGTGAATAACAACTAAAATGTATCGAGGAGAAACGTCACACAATAGTCAAAGGCATTGGGATATTCTAGAACTTGCATCTAAATCAGCCACTGGCAGGAGTCAACACTTCATTCCAAGACACTGTTTATACAAAGACCCATAAGAAATTCAGCAGTCAGTGCACAATCTTATTGGATGGAGCTGCATTTAAGCAAAGCTCAAAAGTCTATCAAGTTCACTGACCCAGGATGCAGTTTCCTAAGTTCATTTCATACTTTAGAACAATTTCCTATCATCCAACGAGAATGATATCATGACGCCCTGTAGTCACTTGCTAACTTCAAACCTCCATATTGGTTGCATCACACCACATCCCATGCCACATTTCCTGAGCTTTTACAATGGTGCCCTCCTAGAGGCAAAAACCCACGAAAGCATAACAAGGTTACAGCCGCTTTGCAGCTTGAAGATCCTGTTAGCACCACTGGGTGTTGCAACGCTAATTAGATAGAGGTATGAAGTTAATCATTTAACTCCTGATGAAACAGAAGCTCAAACTGCAAGTGCTAATTCTCTACTTCTCCAAACTATCCTCTTGAGAAGGGAACCACAAGAGTTGATAAATTTTCCATCCTACTCCTAGAAATTACAAGGAAAGTATCCACAGGGTTAAAACGAAACAAAAAATTCACAGGCATCCCAATGTCCAAACTGCCTATATCTTGTGCTCAATCGAAACCTTAAAACAGTCACATATATCTTGGTCACCGATGAGAATTTAAGTACCACATAAACCTAAGCTGTCTATCTTCTGCTTAATCGGAGCCTCAAAACATTGACTCGAGGGTTTACATAAGATTAAAATCGACATCCTTGCCCAAGCAGCCGCATAAAAAGCCCGCCCTAACACGTAACCCTTGCTCTTAGGGAGTCGACACGAGAGGGGAATCCGGAAACTCACCGTCTGGGTGTGCCTGGTGACGACGCAGTGCTCGCGGGAGCCAGGGGGGATGAGGAACGTGCCCCCGGGCGGGGAGCGGACGAGGCCCCGCACGACGGCGAGGCGCGACTCGCCGTCGCCGAGCCCCGCGAGGAGGGAGTAGCGGAGGTCGGGGATCGCGAGGGCCGGCGCCTCGGCGATGAGGCGGAGCGCCCCGGATGCGGCGAGGTACTTGGCCAGGGACGCGGCCGCGAGCGCCGCCGTGCCGAGGCCGAGCACCGCCCCGTCCAGCGCGGCCGCGACGCGAGCGAGCGCCTCGATCGTCTCCCGGTCCCGCGCTGACATGGTGGCCGCCGGCGTCTGTGCGTGCGGCGAGGGGGGACGAGTCGGGGTTGGGTACGGTCCGGGCCGGAGATAGCTACAGTACTTTTTTTTTCTTTTCTCTCCGGTGTTTTTCTTAACACAAGGCCTGGTATAAACTCTTCGAGACGACTCGGGTGGATTTGCCTCCTCCCAAATCAAAAGGTTTTTTTTTAGAACCCCCGATCAAAAGGTTGTGGAGTAGGATAAAGTACGAATTTGCATCACCCCTATTAAAAATGATCTATCTGCGAATCAACTTGAGGTTGAGTTAGTTAGGTGGACAGTGATATCACCAACCCACCAGGGTTCAAATTCTGATGTTCGCATTATTCCTGGATTTATTTCAGGATTTTCGGCGATCCGCTTTCAGTGGGAGGAGACGTTTCCGTCGATGACGAGACGCCTACGATGACTTCGTAAATCTCAAGATGACATGCCGGCTCAGTCTCTCGGAGGGTCGGCCTGACGCGCGATCCTGCGTCCACCCGTTTGTACAATATAAATAACGGAATTTTTAATAAATATATAGCCTCACGGAACATATTAAATTTACATGAACAAAACCATATATCAGTCAGTAATACAGGGGAATCTTCTCATATAATATTTACTAAAGGCTAATATAACTAACCGGTATTATCAGGACAGATAACAAGTAGCAGAAGAAACAAACATGCAGTATGAGACATAAATTGTTATGGTAGATTGTTATATATATGGTGCATTAATGAAAAATCATCACATGGCTTTTGGCTGAGGGCTCCTTCTATCTTTTGGAGAACAAGCCA